TACAAAGAGAAGCAGGAGTAACGATTTGCAACTATATTTTACACACTCGCTGTATCTCAATCAAAAAACCATCCACGCTCCCTCTCCCGATGTCCTTAATGGGACTTCGAAGAAACGGCGAGTATGACACGCAATTAAGCCTCGATAAACCTTTATCGAGGCAGTTGCGTGGCGAACGCGAGACACAGATTTTTCTCCAACTATCCTAAGCGGCGGAATCGTGAGCGACGCAAAACACCAGTCTGACCATGCACACCTACATTTCCTCTTGAAAGATTACGACTTTTTTTCAATTATTTTCTTTATAAATTTAGCATATTTAAAACAGAGACTTGAAAAACGAAGATTCAGAAATTGAACTGTAGACATTATATTTAAAATTAAATATTTGAAAATAGAAATTTAATTTTGTTGATTCCTAACGATTTACTGTGGAGCCACGGTTCGTGTGCCTGTCAACTTTTTATGTGTAATAAACTAATTTTGGCAATGGAGGTTTTTAATTTGCAGCAATTATGAAAATCCTAGGATTAAATCCTTGCCAACTGGAAGCTAATTTTTACTATAGATAGTAAATCACAAACTGTGCTCCTCTCCACACAGTGGAGTATTTTATTTAAAATCTGGCTGAAATTCAAATTTTTAAACTTAACTAAAAACCAAAAATTGTTTTTCCTACAATGTTATTAAAATGAAGTTGTAACGTCAGAATTTAGATAGAAGGCCATATAAAAAGGATTTTTGTTTATTTACCTCTTCTGTTATCATATTTACTAAAATCAACTAATTATTGCTTTTAATTTTCTGTGAGCAAAATGCATCTGTAACCCAACATTCCTACAATATTACACAAATATTGTTTCAAAATAGATAGTATCTAAATTCAGAGTGAGAGTTTCAATACGAAAATTTTGAATTTTCAATAATTCAATATGATTCAGTATAAAAATTCCCCTATCACTTTTCACGTAAAATTCCATCAAACAATTACGTTCCCTAACTTCCGCGAAATATGGCAAAATAATTTTCGCCAGCATTTTCATACGAAACACCGCACTATACGACGTCGCGTTTCACTCGGTTCCTCACCTGAAATTCCCCCGGCTCTCTAGATATGCCGGAAGCGAAATCCGAGCGGGATGCTCGCTCGCTCGCGCGCAATTAACGGGAGTTCCTCCGCGGCGAGAGGATATCGGCGAACGGTCGATATCTCGCGACCTCTCCGTTCGTCCACCGCCACGGGATCGAAACGTGGTGGCACGAAAAGAAGAACGAGAAAGCCTTACGAAACGAGATCTCGCGAGTCGCATTCGTAATGCACCGAGCATTAAGGCGCCTTTATAAATATGCAACGGATGGTACACGTGTACCGGGCGAGAAAAAAAGAACTATTAATATTTATGCGACACTCGGTTACGTTCGGGGGATCGAGCATGTTGATTCTAGCGTTCGACGTTGCTGGATCGAAGCTCGCTCGATAAGTGAAATGGTTTGTGATTTTTAATGGTTCGCTGAGAAATTATACTCCTTTCGAAGGGTGGAAAGGTTTTTGATATCGAAGCAGAATGTACGAGGTTTGATTAAAAAATTCTTCAACTGTGCGTGCGTGTGTGTGTGTAACTGGATATTTCGTAAGTGAAGAGTGAAACTGACGATGGAAATAAATTTGATATGCTAATTTAGTAGGTGTTGTTTATTTGACAAGTATTGATACGAAGAAACGAAAACTTGAAATATTTTAGAAGTAAAGTGAAACTTTGTGAAAATTTGAATTATTTCTAAGGGTATTCATTTTTTTTTTTTTTTTTATAGAAAATCGTTCTGAGAATTTTCTGAGCACTAAGCAATAATTCAAGGTAGAACAGTGACTAATATTTTTTATATAAAAATGGAAAAGGTGGGCAAAGGAAAATTTACTTCGATCGCTGATAAAATACTTCAATTGATAAAAATTTTAAAAATATTCCAAGTCCCAAAGAAAGAAATATTGAAAGCAATGTTAATCACCTGTTTGAAAATGGGTTGAAATTTTTTTAACAAGAATTCAAGGTCTTTGATGAAGTTTTAAAGATTCGAAGATAAATCTAAAATCCATCCGTTCTTCGTTTGTCGATCAAAGATTGAATGAAAATTGTATTTTTCCTAAGAAAGCAGCATCTCTTTCTTGATCGTTAGCTTTTAACTCCTTGCGAATATTATAGCACACACTTGTCTGTACACTTGAAAGCCTTCGTCTTCTTATCTAATAGCTAAACAATCGATAACGAGGTACTGCAGAACTGACTTCGACCTACTTTACTAATATCAACATTGGACGCTTTAAACGGAAACCTCTCTTGGAGTACGTGCATTATCAGTTAAAATAATTCTCTTTTCAAATACGCTAAAAAAAAATAAATACGATCAATCGTCGAAATTTAACAACAAAATCACTTGAGAGAATAAATGAGCAATAAAAGAAACAAATTTTCGAACCAATTTTTTAAACACTTCGTTAAAAAAGCAGGTTAATGTTGTACAATATGGAACAAATTAATGTAAATGTATGTTTTTTTTTTTTTTTTTAAATGACCACTTGTGCGATCATTACTGCACGCTATTAAAATCTAAAAAAAGCCTGTTGTGTAATTTGTTTGTCCCTGCGTACGTGCCCATGAGAATACACTAGATAACACACTGCGAAATCTAAATCCTTTTATTGTTTGACACCATAGCGCCGACAAATATTTCTAAATAAATATGATAAGCGATCATACTTCTCTTGAATGAGTTAAAAAACACTGTTCCATAAATTACACTTGTTTCGTATAGCAGGGACACTTTACCAATAAAGATTGATATGACGAATATAAAAGACATCGAAAAGGTGCTTATTTTATTTCTGCTAATAATTCAAAGCTTAATTTTATCAGCACAAATTTTTATGATGAATTAGACATTTTAATACCTTCTTCTTTCGATTACGACTCTTACATTAAACACGCCCAAAGTGTTTCTGAAAAATTAAATCCATTTGAATGAAACTCGTGTTACATAATTTTTAAAAAAACAATTCACAGGTATTTTTTTAACATACCAAAATCCATGTTGACGAAGTGAAAACAGCTTAAAAAAAAAAAAAAATTTACTCCTTAGAATGTCTATTTTTGCCATTCGTTAGATATTCATTTTCCACAGCGCAAACCGAACAAATTGCACCAAACTGTGCCCCCGTTTACACCTATCCCTTCCCCCACCAAAAACTCCAGGGATCACGGCGAAACGTTGGCCCGGATGAACGCGGCGCATTGTTTACGCCTGCGTGACGTAACCGCGATCGCGGGGCGCGCAGTGCCGAAAGTAGAGGTGGTGCAGGGGCGCGAAAAAAACAGGAGCAGGGAGCAGCCGCGACAGATCGTTCTCAGGTCCAGCAGAGGCTGTAGTCGAGAGAGACCGCGTACACCCACGTGCGCCGGTTGGCGAGGCACGGAGAGGAGATTCGGGTTTCCCGTAGGAAGGAGGAGGACGCGAGCCACGGACGAAGAAGAAGAGGACGAGAGGAGAGGGCAAAGGCGGCTAATGGTAATGGTAGCAAGCCAGTGTCTCTCGGGCCGCCGTCGAAGCCGGTACATATTCACCTCGTCCTGGTCCACACGTGTGCTCTTGCTTTTTCCACGACTTCGTCTTTGCGAGGATTTCGACCGAGCCTCGATCCTCGATCCTCTCTCTCTCTCTCTCTCTCTCTCTCTCGCCCTCTCTCTCGCCCTCTCACGCTTGCGAAAGCGTTCACCTGAACGCGGAGGAATCGCTCGATCGACCAACGAGACGGATTCCCCGATCGAGCAGCTCTTTTTCTCCTCGAGTCAGCGAGCTCTCCCTCTCGCGATCCTCTCTTCCACCGGCGTGTGTTCCCAGCGGGACGTTTTCGTCTTCACGATGAATCTTTCATCGGCGTTCTCCGGTTAAAGGTGTCGACGGATTTTTCCAACCGGTGCTCCGTCACGATTTTTCCAAGGGGAACCTCCGTCGCTGGAAATCTCGCGACTGCCTCAGAGAAACACGAGACAACGTCTTTCTTAGGTAGAAAAAGTAGTATGAAAGGGATCAACAGACACCCGTCGCTGTTCCATCGAATCGTCGCGCTAGGTATCAACAGCCGTCCTTTCCGTTCTAGACTGTCCTAACAGTGTTCCTCTTTGAGAGAAGGATCGGTGAACGAAGGTACAGTGATCGTACAATTGAAGTTTAACTTTTGTAGGATAATCGACAGACCCAACAGTGTTCCCTTTCTTCGGTGTACAAACGAATGCTGTGAAAACCAGACGGAAGATAAGATTCGTAGAACCATTTCAGATGTCTAATCGAAAGATCAAACAGTGTTTCTCTCTTCGATGAACGTTGCGATTGTCAACTTCGTATTAACCTCGTGGAATAGAAAGAGCGAGGTATTTAAACAAGTGTCGGAACAATTGTAACACCGTCGAAAAGGATCAATGTCCTGAG